TTTGGACACGTTAAACTTCGAAAGCCATCTGTTCGACCAAGCACACAGTTTGTCGATGTTCGACTGCAACTTCTCTGCGTCATCATCACACTTGACTTCACTCCATATTTTTATGTCATCCGCGAACATGAGAGCCTCGTAATTCAGTTCGCTGATGCGGTCATTAACATAAATCAGGAAGAGTACTGGGTCTAAGACAGAACCCTGTTGGACACCACATTTCACCTTTACCCATTCCGATGTAGAATTACTAACGACGACTCTTTGTAGTCTGGAGGACAGAAAACTCCTGATCCACTTAAACATTCTTCCTTGAATCCCAACATCCCAGATCTTCTGTAAAAGAAGCCTGTGTGGGACACTGTCAAAGGCCTTCTTGAAGTCAAAAATATGACATCTACTGGAAAACCCTTATTGGTAGCTCGTGTCCATTTCTCGTGCGAGTAAAGAACACTCGTTAGGCAGGAGCGCCCTGGACGAAAGCCGTGTTGGGCATCACACAATATTTTGTTCTATCCCAGGTATTTCATCAAGTGTCTTTTGATAATGCGTTCAATTATTTTACACGCGATGCAAGTAAGACTGACAGGACGATAATTTCCGCAGTCAAGTCTTGAGCCTCCTTTATGGATCGGAGTAATCAGTACGCACTTCCATTCTTCCGGGAGCTCGCCGTCTTCAAATGACTTTTGAAATATTGCGGATAAGGGTTTGCACAGTTCATTAGCAAGTTCACGAAGTGCTAGGGCGGGAATTCTATCCGGGCCAGGCGATTTAGCAGGTTTCAGTCGGAGTAGCTCGGCCCTAACTATGGTAGATGAAAAGAGTGGTTCCTCGGTTAAGGAGGGTAGAGAGGGGATAGGAGGGGGAAGGGTACTGGGAGGAGAGGTTGGTTGGCGAATGGATGGATGGGCAAATATAGCACTAGGTTCTCGGGTGAAGACGGACTGAAAGAAGTCGGAAAGGAGGGACGCTTTAACCTGGTCATCAATCTCCACTTTTCCATCTGCAGACCTGAGGGCAGGGATGAGCTCCTGAGTCCTTTTAGTACTTCGTATATAACCATATAGAATTTTCGGATGCTCCAACGAATTTTGAAGTATGTTCAATTCAACCTTCTTTCGCAGCTTTGAGGCCTCATTTTTACAGACGTTTCGTTGCCGCTTATAGTCCTGTAAGTGTTCGTCGGAGCCAGTTAGTCTGTAACGCCTCCACAGACGATTCCTTTTTCTGAAAGAGGCCTTCAAGTCCGGGTTTATCCATTTTGGGCGGTTTGTGATTGTCTTCCTTCTGAGAGGACAATTGGAATAAACAATCTCTTTCAGTAAGGAACTGAAAGTATTCCAGTTGTCGTTTGCTCGACCATGCAGTTCAGTCTCCCATGATATAGCTGCCGCTTCCCTCCGTAAGAGAGAATAGTCCCCTTTCCAAATGTTTCTCTCCCACCTCTCGGGTTGGACGGGTTTGGAAAACAGTGAGTACTCGAAGTAGAGCGTGATGTGGTCGCTTGACCCTAATGGCTGTCGGTCCTGCAGGTCTAACACATTTTCCTCCTCTCAGGTAAAAATAAGATCAGGGCAGTTCGACTGCTGTCCTTCCCTGACCCGTGTTCCAAAGGTAACATTCTGACAGAGAAGTTTGTCCGTTGCCCATTGTAGTAGTTTGTGATTAAAGCTGTCTTGCGGCCCTTGTGCCGTCCACGTTAGCCAATCAATGCCAGGAGCGTTAAAATCCCCAACGATAAGGACATCTTTCTTCTCGCTAGATTTGTACAGTTCGGATATGAGCATGAGATCTTGGTCAGAAGTATGGTTAGGTGAACGAAACACCACCGAAAGCGTCAATGATCGGACATTCTTAGTAGATATGGTAACGCTTAGCAGTTCCACAGCCCGTACCGGTCTATGTACATCAGCCATAGCGCTTAGCTTGCAAGTGACATAAATTATGACTCCTCCTCGGCTTAGTCTATCTCTCCTGAATTGCTGATATCCTCTAAGTGATATTTCTGAATCTGCGATATCTTCAGTAAGCCAGGTTTCTGTGAATGCCATAATGTCTGGCTTAATTTCATCAACTAAGTCTCTTTGTTCATCTAGTTTGTTGAAGAGGCTTTGCACATTTGCGGATATAACCTTCAATGACTGATTCTTATTTGCTTGGCGGGAGTTGATAGGATGAATATTGGCCGTCCCTAAAATGTATCTCGCGGTTTAATACGTGGAACTTGCCGAAACCATCATCCACATCATTGGACCCCGGTGGTCTAACTGTAAGGTTAATTTTACTAGACAAGTAATTACTTGTCTCTAAGTTAATCTAACCGATATCGAATCCCACCCCCGCCATTTTTCTACCGGCTGTTCCCCAAGTTTAATGCCTATGTCTAGCTGGTGGTAAGCAGACTTTTTAAATGGAGACTATGATCCAAAAACATGAAGTAAATAAAAGTATGAATCAAATCTCAAAATAGGTCAGCACGAGTGGGTTTCGTAGTGCCGTGGGAACTCATGAAGAAAATGAGACATACTGCGTTTTATATACTTCCTTTATATACTTCTACGTGTAATCAACCGACTAACTTTGCAACTCTCCCCGCGCCCTGCCGCTCTCACCCCGCCCCTGGCAGTGACTCCTATAAACCCCCTCACTCCCCCACATTCACACACCCAGCCTGTGTTTTAAGGCGAACTTTAATAGATTTATATTTTCACCTAGGCGTTTCTAATTCTACTCCGTCCCCCATATAAATGTAATGGCGCGACGAGAATTTATCGAAAGCTACGCATGCTCACCACCTCGTCTTCTGATTACTTTCATGGGAATTTTCGCAACTCTAAAATCAAAAATCACAGAGATTGAAGCCGAGGTACGAATGCCCAGAAAAAATGTTCCAGATTATTATTATTTATTGCCGTTGCCACACTTCATCTCGACATTAGCTGCAGCCTGGCTAGACTTGTGTTTAGCTTCCTAGTAGTTTGCTTGCTTACAGTACAAGTGCAGATCTTCTAGAAAAGCACCCTTGACTGTCCATGCGTTTTTCTTAAACGTCAGCCAATTCCAAGATAGGATTTAAAGGAATACGTAAGTTAAAGCTTTTCAGGCAGATGAATTTGAACTGTAGTTTTACGTAACGCTAGAAACGTTCATTATAGCACTGCATCACAGTATTGTTTATATAGTTCCATTGAAATGCCTGCTAAACAAATGCAGTGTGTATTAGGCTTGTTTCGGGGTTCTCCCGTTATCGTTGTACCCTCATCTGAAGATTGATAGCATCATTTCTAATTAAGTCCCAAATGCAGTTTTGCACGGAGGTGCTCCGTAGGAGCAGATTTTGTAGTGCAGTCCTTTAACTGCTATAGCACAGAGCATCATTTAGTTTCTGCGGGCCTGAAATGTGCATGATAGGTACGATTTTTCGGGAGGGTATAATTGCCTCCCTAACTGGCGGCTTTTTCCTTGATCCGTCACAAGGCTACGTTGTCAGCTGTATTCACGTGTATTTATGGCTTTATTTCTTTATCGTGCCACTTGCAATAACATTGGTAATTCGTATTTCTCGCACAATCACCCTTTCAGATAAAACCACTGTCTATCATTGCCTGGACCGTATACTCCATTACCGTTGTGCTTTTAATCGGCATAATTCAGTATCTTACTTACCGGTTGCACAAAACATTTGACGAGTGTGAACCGATCCCACAGGCTGTTGGCTTTTATAGTGATGTCTGCAATGCTGAAGGGTACGTGTGACTTTGAGCCAGATCATTTGCCCAGAACTGAGACTTTGAAACAGCGAACGTACGATCAAACGGGCAGTGCTCTATCACTTGATTCGACCTGTCATCGTACCGCCGCCAATGTGTACGCCTCCGTTGAAAATATCGAGGCACAGTGTCGTCGCATTGGGTTGGCCGGCCAATACTTAGCAGGTACACCTTAAACGGCACTTGCCCATTTAAAATTGTCTAAAGTTGTCTGATTAATGCGCACAAACTCGCCTAGGGATTTATGCTTTGCGGGAAGCCTTCTTTTATAGGAACACCTGGACATGATCGACAAGTTTCATATAACACCACGTTTCTAAATTTCAATAGAAAACTTAGTACGATTTGGTGGTACTCACTAAATACTTTTTAAGAATGTATATCTGGTCACTAGAATTAAAATTTTTGTCAAATTATTCTGGTAACCAGAAATACACTCAACACTTATGACTTATATGAGTGCAGAATATTTGGCGCCAGAAGTTTGATCTGAAGGCTCTTGGACGGTTCCCAGTTAAAACGGCAAGAAATTTAGTCATATGCTCTTACTATTTGCTTTGCGAGATGAGGTTTACCTGAATAAATCACAGTCATACTGAAGAGAGCAGGTATCTTCATCGATGAACTGTACAGAATTTTCCAATTTAAACGGTTTGCCAGGGGGTCTTCAACATTTTCTGGGTTGGTTGCCGAATAAAATACAGTAGCGCAATGCTTACGGAATTTAAGCTGTATATATCAGAAACAATAGTGACAAAATTGTAATTAGTCCGAATGTTAGCCAAGGAAACCGAGTTTTGATGCTTGAAATTCCACCAAATTGCAGACTGAAATTGCGGATTTTAGATTTCGGGACGTTCATCACTCCTATAAGGGCCGAAGTGTTTTCTTGGGTAATAGGGCATCTGCTGTCCTTGATACCTTCTCCGGTTCACTGCTCGGATTGGACGGGAAAGAGCATTGTATGCATAATAGAATGGGATTCGCTCGTATAAACTGATACAGACATGTCCAGTATATACATCCCAGGGCGTTATTTCGATATTATACTGATGAGCGAGGAAGTCATCTATCTGCAAGTTCCTTTGGGAGGTTTATTATCTATCCCCTTCTTCTCCTTCGTCGCTTCCGTCTGATTGATGACCGATTCCACTGTTGCAATCATGTTGACGGGTTTGGCATCAGTTGTATTGAATGAGGCTTCGTGTCGCAAAACATGTACTTGCTCCTTCGTCTGTTCCTTTGACGACAGGTTGTGTACCAATATGCCGTCTCTGGATGACTTTGGATCAGGCAGTCAATGGAATTTGTTTCCCAGTGCTGCGTCGCGTGTCGCTCTCTGCTCGCGAGCTCGTTCAGTCACCTGCTGTAGCAATTTTTTGCCCATGAACTTGCGGCATCTGGCCTTCTCGTGGTCAATTCTCTGATGGTATTTGCGAAGCCTCGCATGGTAATCTTGAAGCAGCAAGCGGATCGTACGTCTCTCGTGCTGACCTACTGCGTGTCTCGTCAGCCCCGTGTTTACCGGGGGTTTGTGTGAAACACACTTCGGCAACACGCTATTATCGATACACCTGTGCAGAAACCGGAACCGCGCATAAGCAGAGGCCTCTCGAAGGGAAAATGTTTCCCATCGTCGGGCCGATCGGAGCGCGTCACGCCCTAACAAACTGCCGGTACAAGCGAAGATGCGAGTTCAAGGAGCTAGTCGATAAGAAGTAGAAGCGATCGCCGGAACAAGGGCTTTATTCGCCTGACGTGTCGGATTCTCACTTGAACCCATCATCAGAGACAGTTACAGAGACGGATTTCTGTATTTGTAAATGGTCATGTGTCAGAAATTGAAAGAATAAATTTTTTGGTATCAAATTACACACCTAAAATTAGGCGCACCAACTTCCTTTATGGTTGATTCGTTCCACAGAAACTTGACCTTTGCGCGCAAAATCACTCTTTAAACAAAGTTATTACCCGCAGATTGATGTTGAAAACTGAAACAATTGTCATGTTCATCAGTCAAGGATAATCGATCCCAAATCGTCGCAAAGAGGGAAAAGTGGAAGCGTATACCTCATTACTAGCCACGTTTTCTTGAATGAATGTCAGACTTTCTTGATATCTTGGTTCTGACACTGAATACAGTCTTGGGAGTTTTTCACTCCGATATCAAAGCCATCGGTAATATGGATAAGCAATATAACTATTTGCATCTTCAGGACATCAAGAAGTCAAAGAGCCCTTAGCAGGGAACTTTCTTTGTTTTGTGAAAATTGTGCTCTAAAAAACCCGCAGCTTAAATGCTTTCAGAATTTTTAAAATCCGTACCAGTACGAAAAAAGACCCAAAATTCTCTGCACTAGTATTATTCCCGATGAAGGGCCTCCGTAGTTAAAGCAGGGTTCTGGTGTAGTTTTTTAAACGCTCCTTGAGACTGATGTCTTCAAACTTCCTATATCCTTTTTTAACTCCATCTTTCACTTCCATAACGTGTTTTCGTTATTTTGACCTTAGATTTGATGTCTCCTCCAAACACTGCCCCGAGAGAGGTCGACTCTCCAGAAAACCCGATTGCTGGTCCGTCCCAGCCTCGTCCGCCAACTCCGATTCCTCCCCGACTCTTACAAACACCAACTGACCCCACTAGCCGATCACCTTTTTCTGAAGGCTGTCGATCTTCGACCGTGCCATTGGTAGGCGTTCCTTTTTTAACAATTTTCACACTTTTCTAGCCTAGACCTCGAGGTTTACGACATCGTTTAGGCGTCCGCATGCTTGAGAATCGACAAGGTATCTTAAATGACAAGCCTCCACCCACCTTACCAGTGTCTTACCTCGACTGGAGCAACAGAAGCGAGGGCGGAAATCTTGAGGAACATGATTCGCCTGGGAGAACAAACGATAGTACTGATGATGCGCTCGCACTTTGCCGCAATGAAACGGACCCATACTCAAATGTAGAAGAGGCGAGTTCTGTACAAACTAAGATTCCATCGGGACCCGAACCAAGTCAGAGTAAAAGAACCTCCGAATTAGATAGACCTTCTCAGGTCATCCGACATTCCTCGGCGCCGAGTAAGTCACAGTGCCTTTCATGTCTTCCTACTACTACTACTACTACTACTACTACTACTACTACTACTACTACTACTACTACTACTACTACTACTACTACTACTACTACTACTACCGCTGCCACCGTCAGTATCACTGTCATCATTGCCGTAATTCGTTTATTTATTCTTTAGTCCGTCATCTTTATCTCCGTCGCGGATTATTAACCGCTAGTTCATTTGCTTGGCCAATCGACAATAAATACACCTCTTCTCATTTGGAACCCTTTATAACCCATGTAGACTTTAGTCCCTTACACCGGTTTTCGTATTTAAAAATGAATTCTACTCATATTATTTTACACAAGTCCCACACATCCTTGGCCCTCAATACGACCTGAGATTCTGCGGTCTGGAGCACAGCCGTTCCCTGCGCCGTTGTTTCGAAGGCCATGTTGACTATCATTTCCGCTTCCCGGACGCGCTGCGTCAGTGTTCCACAAAAGTCTCCAACTCATCAACTATACGTCTTATCGATGCTCACTCATCGGCATCTCCTGCCACGCGTGCAGCCCTTCGCAGACATATCGAGAAGCTGCGTGACGAGGTCGGAAGCTTGCCGTACTTTCAGTCGGCTGAAGTAATCGCTCCTGACGACCTCCATGAGCACATTCCCAAAAAGTTGGAGCCTGCAGTGATGAATCACCCGAGAACTGTGCGTCCCATCCGCAGTCGAAGTACTTGCGGGGCAAGTAACGAATATTTTCGTGTATGTGTTATTGCGTAAAGTTGATGCAGCGCAAGTTTCCTTTGCTATAAACCGACTCACTCGCAAGTCACCACTGCGTTTTGAGTCAGTGGTAGTTCTAATCAATAATGATATATGAACTACCCAGGGGTTCTTTGGTGGTTCCTGTCCGACTAATCTAACCTTAGCTCCCAAGGTACTTCGACATGAAGGAAGACTTTGATTTTTGCCGTTGTTACCTTTACTGTTGTTGGATAGACAAGCAGTGTTTCAAGTCGTTGGGTTTCGGGTGGATGTTAGGCAAGTGGGACAGGACCAGGTGTTGAGAAGGAGACTCGATCTCCAAGTCAGGGATCCTTTTCGCCTGACGTTGCGGTTTCACACTGGGAGCCATCACCGGGACAACCGCAGGTAGAGGTGGCCGCTGCACAGGCGTGCAGTATTTGTGGAGTGCAGCTGCTTGCGACCATACACTCATCAAAGTTGGTAGCTCTCCACTCATCGCAGATGTCCGCACTTGGTGCAACGACTGCCTGTCGGCCTTAAACGAACCGTTGGCTACTGCGATTTCATCATATGTGTTGGTGATTGACATGATCATTACTCAGAAATTTGGCCCGTCAGTACTGTTACTGGAAGCTGTGTTCACTAGCGCGTTCGCCGCGTGTCTGGCTACCCTGCCAAGACAAAGTCTTAGCATGGAATGGAGAGTATCGTTGTATTTCTGATGGATTGCGAGTACTCGTGCACACCAAGTTTCATGCCACCAGTGGCAATCTTCGAGCGCATAATGTACAGAACAAAGCGCTGCTGTCTGATCTTGCGCAGTTACCAACAAACTGACTCGTCGAGGACGCAGCAATGTTACTCCGGATGTGGATAGTTGGGGGCGTATCCGCAATGGAGTGGAATGGCGGCAACTCTGGTTCGTTCGGCGGAACTGAACTACACACAGGTTGATGAGGCCGAAATCCGCGTGTGAGTTGGCAATAATGCGAGTCGTTAGCAGCGTGAAATATGATTTCCCAGCACGTAGGCGTATGGCTGCGCAGCAGCTGCATCCTGCATGTACTGCGTTCCCTATGTATTCGCCACTCTTAGCTACTGCTATTCGAACTTGAATCCCAAACATCAGGGTAACGAAATTCCCGACTCAGCTACCGAGTCTCTTTCTGAACTGCTCACCGGAACTAGCTTTTTCACTTGTATATGCTTGAGAGTTGATTTTTGGGAGACGACAAATCGATACAAATGGTAGTACGAGCCGGCGTACGTTGCCGCAGCCGTTGCATTTGCGATGCCAAATACCCTATCAGTTGTACCCAATGCCTCAGGGTTAGGCGAGTGTCTGCTCGTCCTGAGTCGGATTATTTTGGCTGATGTCTCATGGTTTCTGAAGTTAGGGTTGCGGATGATGATGGCGGAATTGGTCCTAGTAGTGCTGACTGCGTCAGTTTGGACACGAAAGTGCTCAACCAGGGCGATTCCGACTAATAACATATATTGACAGTGAAAACTAATGGGCAGGGGTTAGTGAATGCACGATATTGCGTACATTGTCTTTGCCGTTTTTAGAGTTGTGGTTTTTGTGAAATCGCCCCATAAGACCTATGTGAACTCACAGTGTACATTTTTTATTAGGACTTACGAGAAAAGTGTAAACGTTGGTAGCGTTGTCTCTTGGTACGCCTTCCTGGTCTCCTGTGTCTATTCTGCTTCGGCGACTGTTTCTCTATTTTTTATGCCCATTCTCTTGGCCTGCCGACCCTGTGCTACGTCCTTCTAAGAGTTTTAGGGGATTTCCAGACTCCGAAGTTAGGCCTTCAGGTTATCCTTGTATCATGCTATAGATCTCCTTGTCAGTGGAGACTTGTCGCGAAGTCACAGTTTGCGCGCAAATCGAGCAGCCACTTTAGTTTTGCGAACATACTGGACAAGCCGGCCGATTCCAGAACTCAGTCTTGGGGATTCATTCCTTTCACCTCACCTTCGAAATCCTCTCATTATTTTGACAGGCTTCGGGCCGCCACACAGCCAATACGTTTTTTTCACACGGATGGTCTTGTATATCATGTTTTTGATGTTGAGGGGAATGCCACGACGATCCCGGACTGGGAATTAGGGCGGAGGAACGCTCTTTATAGAAAGGATTATCGGCCGACATCAGTGATAGGCCGGTCACTGTTGGTGATCATAGGTTTTGTGTTCCGCAGCTAGCGTTGATTTGTGCATGAGTACTGTTTACCCTGCATTTGTCATCGCTTCAGAATTAGTGTACCCAAGTGCCGGAAGCCCCACGCCCCGTTACATATCCTACTGGGTTTTAGTATTCATTGTACCGTCTCCGGCAAATAGGCAGTGTGTCACTATGTTGGAGACGTTGATTGCAACCTGCATACGTCAAATGCTAAAAACCACCTCGTCAGTCCGATAATTCGAGGCCGTCCACTACGTGAGCATTTAATAGGATTTAAGGAAAAGCGAGGTTGCATAGGATTAGGGTAAGTATGATGGCAACGGCCTGGCCCTTGCGGGTGACGACATCCGCCGTGTGCTCCGCGGAGCGGGCGCAGCATCGGTACCCTGCACGTAAAGTAGTTTATAGTGAGACAGGCCTGCGTAACATCTACGCTCTCTGCCTTCCAGCACCAGTACGTTTCGAGGGCAAAACAATGCCAATACAACCGGGGGTGGTCTCGGGCGTAGTAGCTAACAAGTCTACGCGCGCCATACGCAGGCCGATTCACGATTCATGCGTGTCACGCTGCATTTGATGATGAGCCTAAGATTTTACGTCATTGGGAATGCCATGAAAGCCACATTAGGAAGGGGTCATTTCAACGTGATCCCTAGTTCTGAGGAGGATCGAGTTATCACGTTAGTTGGCGACGTCCCTAGCCACAACTTTTAGCATGTCGTAAAAGGTTCAAACGCGTCAGAGTTGTTGTAGTGAAGAATGCGTTGATGTGTCGTGAGGACGGTTTCCCCGATGTCGGACTGTCACTTTCCTCTCCCATGCACCAGTCGACTGTCCGAAACTGCAAACGAGCCGGTTGAGATTTAGCGCTGTGGCTGACAGAGCGGAAGAACCTGTCTACGCCTGCCACACGACCTGGTTCCCTTCTTTATGAACCAGACTGCACCAAACGACATGATTCTCACGTACGCGGGATATGTGTGTTCTGACATGTGACGTTCCGCCCGTTATACTGGTGCCGGCAGAGTGGGCCGTATGCATATATCATATATCACATGTACAGTATGCGACTTATCTCATGAAACGTGCCTGAATTTGCGAAAGGTTGCCAATCACTTGCAAGTCGATACGAACAAATGGACCGAAGCTTTAGAACAACGAACGACTTTGGGCGAATTGGAAACATAAAGAAAATATTATAATTAATATTGCTTTGTTAAGAAATACCATTCTGAAAACGTCCGAATGGTTGTAACTGAGTAAACTTAAGTTTTTGGCCTGTCTCCGCCAAATGAGGGGCATTATATTTTTGCTGAGCAATCTTAAATAGAGGGTGTACCCCGCGTCTATCTGATCGCCTAACAAACCATATCCTCCTCTCATGACGTTTACATTTCTACCCTGCACCCATCCCATTAGTTTAAATCGCATTTTTGCCGTTTTACTTGTTCGTATCGTAGTCATGTTCATGCCGTTAACCGAATATTCTTGTAGACTTTGGTTCCTCTCTCTAGAAAAAAGACGCTAGCACGCCATATGGTAACTTATACTCGCTCAAGCGCATTAACAAACGGCGTACATATTAGTCAGTTGTCCTACCAGTAATAGCCACTGACAACCTTACTTTTTCCCTCTCTCCGCTCACTGCTCGCTCAATATATGTCTCCAGCGTCACGACCATCTGCGGTATTCAGTAAGTGGATACCGTCGGATGTCCCGCCGTCGGCCAGGGTCCATTCTGCGTCTCCGCCATAACCACCAAAGGGCCTCCACCGTCAACGGTGCCACCATGTGCAGTCCTGCCGCTGCTTCGTCTACGGGACCTTCTAACCAACTTGAGGAGGCAGGAACTTCTGCGTGTAATCCCACCGTGGTCGCCAAAGAGGCCAAATCAGATGACCTATCTTCGGCGACTGACGCAACGGCGGTGGCGGCAACAGGCATCTACGACTACCCTACCGACGATCCGATTCAGCCACCGGAGCCAGCCACAACCTCGGAGGGTGGAGGATTGGATCTGCCGCCGTCCGGTGACTTCTCTTCCACGCCAAAGGCCGAATTCTTTCGCACGTGCTCCCTTCCTGAGAGCACCATTGCGGTGGACCATGAATTGCCTCGGCCGACCCTGTCGACACTGTCACTCCACAAGGGTGAACTGGAGGAGGACCAACATGTCGGGAGTAGGTTGCATACTTTTGATGCCTTATCTGCTGTCTACGACAGTTAATTCTTGTCACCACCCCGTCCGTGTTTGCGCCTTTCCACCCTTATGCATCAGATGGGCTCGGGGAACCGTATTAATATGTAATCGTTATACTTGTCTGATTTTTTCGTTCTTGTCGTTTCAATTTCCCCAAAGGTCATTAGCTTTCATATTCGAAAAATTAAGTGCTCTTCTGCTGCCCTCATCGGCTCAGGCATTTGCGCAGCCAAACAGACCAAATTCTTAGGAGCGAAGTTTTTCTTTTACAGGGTACGCTTGTCTTCATATGGCATTCAAGCTTTCACCCAAAATCATCGTTTTTCATTGGTAGTCTGTGGTGGCTGTCAGTGTACTGCTGACTGCTTAGAGGAACTACAAGCTTCCAGATCCACAATGTCCTTTGTTGTATCGCCGCCGTCGTCAGAATCAGTGTCGCTGTCCTATTTATCGACAAACTCTATGCAGATTTGTTGTTGGTCAAGACTTAGTGACTTTGGCTGCATATACCTCGCCACATTTTCTCGTGGACTCTGCAGTGATTTGGTATTGCTCTCTTTACTTACGCTTTCTTCATTTAAAAATCGTAATTTTTGCCGTTGTGTGTTGTTAGATTTAGAGGTTTAGCCTGCAATTTATAAACTGCTGTAAGTATATTTGCGCCTTCTCTGCTTCCATCCTAGCCACACCACCCACGTAAATGTCTCGGAATTTCTAACTCTCGCTTACTAGTTGCGGATTCCAACTTTTTGTCTAATGTCAAAACGTCCGTCAGTGGCAGTTTGGTGTGCAAATTCTTCGTTTCCTCAGAGACTATTACATTAATTAAGCATGCAAGCACTCGGCCAGAGTGCTGTTAGTAAAATCAGCCTTTTACGTTTTGCCGTATTGCGTGCTTTCTTTGTCTTGTTGACGTGGTTATTATTTTCTTCCCGTCATCTCCGTCTCGTTAATTATTCGGTAAGGGTCGAATATGCCAACCGCAGTTTTTATTACTATGCCATGCCTGATTATTTGATTTAAGTAGAAGATCTATATTAGGGTTGTGCTTCTCTCTAGGACTGAGAAAATGACTAAATTTATGGTTAGGCCCGTGTTTAAGGTTATAGTTAGCTCAAAAATTTGTGTTGGGGTTAACTACCACATACCATCTTACACAGTACGGACTTCTTTAACCAGTAACCTTGGGCTACCTGTTTTCCGCCTGTTGACACGCCTCTACTTCGCACATTTCAAATTGCGTGATCTCTTCCGGTACCTTGTTGGAGTAGTAAAACAGACATATGGCAGAAGTACGAGTTTTCTTAATGCCCTTCGCAGATTCAGTTAACTGCTGCATTAATCTGCCCAATTGATAAAAATAATATTAAAACCCTTCGCGTAGTTCAGGAGTCTTTAGGTTCTATCTTATCAGTGGGTTTACATATCCAATTCTCGTCGTTTATTCAGATAGGTTGATGCAATGCATCTTTGGTTACTCCACCGTAGTTCTGAATCATAAACACAAACTCTTGCGTAACTTGGAGGCAGTAACTAGTGTCCTGTGCCCCAGAAGCTATAGTTCGCGGTTCTACCAAAAGTGTCGCCGGAACGTAGAAAAACCCACTGAAGAACCACAAGAAGTTAGAGATGCACCTGCCCTGTCTTCTGGTCAGAGCATACTTCGAACCTATGAAAAAGAGTCCCCGACCTGCAAATCAGAATGCTTTCTGAACATTCTCGACCCTCGTTACTTTACAGTTATAGTTTGTCACTATAGTTATCCTTAGATTGGCTGCAATTGCCCGCTATTTCGGTAACTTATCCTATCTTTTTCAGTCACTTTTGACAGGGGTTTATCCCCTACCTGTAGAGAGCACATATTAATTCATTCCTTCACGCCGTCTTCTTCTGTGGCTCAGTCTGTAGACCGCGAGATTCGAAAAACACCTGAGACTACCTAGATAGCAAATTGCATTTCGACTATGACTTTGCACAGTTTCGATTGCCACTATTTCTGCACAAATGTCGCTTTGCGTGATCCAAGGAGCTTGCCAATTCCACTATGGCCTGGGCTTCGATGCATAATTCGGAGGTCGACAAATTAAGCATAATTTTGAAAAGGTAAAACCGCTGAAGCGAATCTGGCAGGATTAAGTGACGCTGGGTTTCCTCCGTAAAGTGCTGTTCCATTTAATTACACATACCCCCCACACCCTACGTGCACGATTTAATCCACTCTCCTAACCGTCGGCTGATGGCTGGTAAACGAACAGTATAAAATGAAATTCCTACAACTCTCGGGTACAGTCGTCATAAGTCCTACAACACTACCTGCATTGATTTTTTGTTGACCCCTCTTGACTATATTTGTCTGCCGTAATTACCGTGCCATTATATGCGCAAACGTTACTGCGGCTGCTGTCCTCACTCCACTGGTCGAGTGCGCAATTAGCACTCGATCAGATTAGTGGTGACATTTGGCCTTGTACCTTTTATGACTGCCTATCACACTCAGTCCCCTTTCTGTTGTTCATTATCACTCAAGCCGATAGCGCCGTGCCGTCAATGTCGGCTGACGTGCTCTACAGCCCTCCCGCCCAGTCCAACTGGGAGATTTCAAAGCCTTCGGGAACCCCCTTACCGGCGCCCACTAAGAAGGAGGCCAAATCCACCCCTGCAGTGGACTCCTCCTGTCTGCTAGTCAGCCTAAAGCCTTCTCTGCAGTCCAACATTTACGATGAAATTCTGCCCCTTTCCCAAGCTGAGTCTGCAGAGAGCAATTTACAGCCGCGGACGTCGCCACTTTTACGACGCCTTCCTGCTTCGTGCGTTCTTTGTCCTTCTTGCTTATTAACTTATACTTTATCAGCCTCTGAGAGTCACGCACTCGCAATATCACTTAGACCACATGTTTACAATTTTTGCTGCCTACCCATACGCATCTAGTTTGATGGGCACTTTGAGTTCCGATATCGTAGCCACAAACAGTCGTGACCACTTTAAATAGTCAAATGGGTGTTTGTTGGGGGCCAACGCAGTAACTCGTTCACAGCGAAAGTTCCATCGTTACAAACGACGATCTCCACCGCGTGCCCCAAAGCATGGCAGACGCAGGGACGGTGACACGGCTGCATCTACCGCGCCCTCTCCTCCCCTGCCCACCTGACCCCGATGTCTAGGAGCCAAAAAGACCAGAGGCGGGATCGGGTGCAGCGACTGACAAGGCTAAACAGTCCATCTGTAGGGGCCACATGCGCCTGGTCCGCGCACAAAAGATGAAAAACTGAAGCAAGAGGGACTCGGATCCCAGCTGAGTATGAATGCCGTAGGGGCCACATTAAGAAGGAGCCACTGCGATCTGACTCTCCGTTCTGAGAGTCCTGGGTTATCCTGTGACCTGGCAGATTTTCAAGGCGTGGCTTTTAGTGCACTGTGATAGCTTCAAAGCCCACCATATTGGTTAAGGAAGTGAGGAATATGCGCTGAGTGCCGTATGGACGGAGTCCCCAGAGTCGACCTCTCTCTCTCCTCATTTCCTCTCCCAGGTACCTGTGCACTGTCTGAGCCGGTGAACCAACTGCAGCGGAGATCGGTTAGTGTGACTGGCAGATCTGAAACAGCCTGTCTAGACGTGCCACACACGACCTGGCTTCCTACTCTACACACCAGGTCTTCCCCCGTTATATCTGTCATCATCGCAGTACAAGGGATAGATTGAGTGACACCGACAGAAATTTCCTCGTACAGTTTGGTGCCAACGAGGAGTCATTCCTTTTCATGCAGTTATTTGGACGAAACAGTCGTTTGCCTGTTACTTCAAGTTCACGATAACTTCTCGCCCTTTATTTGTGGGGTCTTGCTTGGTGGACCCTCGTTTGCTTTTTCCTCGCCTCTATTGATTTAACCCATAAGATTTAGAATTACTTTACCTATTAGCGTTTTTCCGACCTGTTGAAAATGAGCAATAACATGAGTGCCTGCATGACTCGTGGTGATTCCCTGTCAGGCTTTTTGCTCCCCAGCAATGGTGGCGCCCACGGTGCCACTTTCACTTAATAATGCATGCTTTCGGTCCAAGGCTTTCTTCTGTGTCCATTCGCATTGTTTAAACGTATCGCATCTTTCACTCTCACCCTTGCAAACCACAGGTTCTTGTTTTGGTAGGGGCTCCCAAAGGCTTAGTCGTCCATCAATCGCGTTATCGTTGGATATCCTATTTTGATGGACGTTACGTGACTGTATATCTGTGCCATTTGACTGAGCACCTCATGGTGCGTCACTTTCCACTATAAGTCCTCAGTGACAGGGTTGTTTTTACTATCTGCCGAACCACTTGACTTTGTTATTTGGGAACAAGGGTAATGTTATTATGAGCACCCCTCCTGCGCGGACAAAACCTTTAGGGTTGCCTTCACCACTCGATCGATGCCAAAAACTTCGTCATCAGCGTGTTTACTTTTTGCGAAAGAAGTCCTTAGGGCATTTGTTATTATGACTGCTTTTCGAATGCGTTTTACATTGATGATTCCACGGGAAGTTATACAGAAAGTTGTGATAGGGTCATTTTAGAAGTTGGCGGTCACTAGCTGCGGTCAAGTGGTCGCTTTCTCGGCACTGGACTGGCACCCGATTCCGCATAAGTCATCAGCTCTCTTTTGGCGTCCTTTCGGACGATCTCTAATACGACGGATACACCAAGTATTCGTAACTGTAGTCCGGTTGGTGTGTGCAAACTAGTGTAGTCTTGTCACCTCAGACTTTGATCTGCGCTGCTCACAAGTCATTTTTTTGAGGACTGCTGGCTTTGTGCAGTTCATCAATTAAATTTTGGCAGTCATATATTCTCTCACGATTCACTGCTGCAGTGAAAGAATCGCGTTGCAAATTTTTCCTATCCGAACATTCGTGCGGTCTGAAAGAGGGTAGGCCTCTTTACTCTTTCTCAGGCTTGGCTCCTTCGCAGAGCCTGTACACAGAAAGTTGCGCAAGGGTTGCATTCACCGACCTTTCCTGACAGCCGGACCGAACGCCAACGGTTGCATAGTGATGAGTAATCAACAATTAACCGGCCGATAGGACGTGAGCACCTGGTTCAGTGCACGAAAAAGATTGGTTCAAAACTTGAGTCTCCCAGGCTTGGGTCTGGTGTGCTACAGAGTTAAGTGGTCACGTGATCGAAAAAGACTATCCCAGCCCCTTAGTTCCTCCGCATAGCTTGCCAATTTCCTTTTACTTTGAAAGAAGGCAGTGGCCTGCGACTTCTTAAATCGCTCCGTGTCATTTCTGTAGGACTTTACTCCAAACCAGTGATCTGCCTTTGTCAAGTACTTTTGCAGTGACCACTCTGACTTATTGGACTTTTTAAATGTCCGATCTTAGCTCTCCTAAAATCCGCCGTCTTCTACAGGTCTACAACTTAGTTTTTGTGCGTAGCTGGTGCTTGCTTCTATTAAGAAGGTTTGGGGCGAAGTGGTTCCAGTCTTTGTTTGAAGCTGACCTCAACTACCCCCTTCTCGCCACTCGCACCCCCCTCTGCTATCAGCCACAGACCGCAATATCGAAGACGTGCCATCCATATGCCTGCGCCTTCCCAACGCCCATCACCCCGCTCCTCTAGGCACAGTGTCTCTGTTGCCAGCAGTTCTCGTCTCACCAGGAAGATTGATGCACAACCCGTGACGCAGGTCCTACAACAGCAACAACAACAGCCCCTCTATCCGTCTAAGAGTTGTGGCGCTGACTGCAACGCCAGTTCCTCACACGATGCTGTGCATCTATTAGCCCAACCGACCCAGCACCATCGGAGGCATCTACGTTCCAGTTTCCGATTTCCTTTCTTCCCACCAAACGTGCATTCTCTGGACCATGTAAGTGCTGATTCCTCCTATCGTCTATCTAGTTTTTAGAAGTTGTTTTTAGACATAAAAGTAAGTTTTTCAAGGTACTGTCTACTGACATTCATGAAACACTGACTTAAGTTCTTAAGTGTGCCTTACAGTGGAAAGTGTTATCAAGTAAGGTTTTAGTGCCCGTTACCACGAAGCATAATCTGAAATTAATTGATTTACTTTGGGAGGCTGGCCCATGAATGAACATTGCATCAGCCATTGGTATAAGCTATACTCGGAGAGCCATTAATTCCCAAGTAGTGTGGATTTTTCCTCTTGATTTTCGATGCTTTAATAAGAACACATGCTATGCGGGTGGTGTTCCGAAACATACGGGATTTAGCAGACTCTATCAAATCGAAACTTCTGCCTTGCCTTTGCAAAAGACATGAGTTCAAACAATACAAGTGTAGGAAACCAAGTGTGCACCACAAGTCCTAGTCATTATGACAATCGTACATGATAACAGTTCGGCTGTCGATTTCTACAATGTCAACCGTGTGCTCCACAGATGCGGGAAGGCAGGGATGGTGAAATGCACGCAAATTAGTTTTAGTAATAGTAACTTTGTTCAGCATCTGCCGCACGTTCTCCCCCTAACATGGGCCCGGTCTCAAGATAGAGTCAAGAAGATTGGAGGCGGAAGAGGCCGCATGTGGTCGGCGCGGCCGGGGCCGCCCCTTGGTGTGCCGCCACACCCAGCTCGGACCCTACGGAATGGGAATGGCATAGACGTCACATTAGGAAGGGGCCACCTGACTCAGCCCACCAGTCCGCCACTCCACACAAACACGCTAATCCTACATAACGAGGGTTTTACTAGCTACGTAGTGGCCACTCCCGCCATAATGCTGGTTGTTGTGTTGCCATAAGAAGCAGCCAATGTTGGCTCGTGACATGCGTTTGGAAAATTGTGGGAAGTCGGACTGAGCCCTTAACCATTGTCTTATTTGTGTGTTGCACACTTAGACGGGGTCTTCCCGTCACGTCACCTGTTGAGCCCAAGTTCTTTACCTCTTTCCGCGTGTACCGTCCGTGGACTTCTCTTCGTCGACGACTGCGCCTTCAACGCCACCTCCGAAGGAAACATGCAAAGAATCATAGACGTCTTCGCTGTCGCCTGCGACAACTTCGGCCAGGTCATCCATCAACACGGATAAAACGGTGGTCATGCATCAACCGCCATCCGACGCCACCAACGTCGCACCGCAAATCAACTTGAACGGCGTCCAACTGCAAGTCGTGGACAACTTCACCTACCTGAGCAGCACCTCTCGCACCACCAAGATCGACGGTGAAGTTGCCCGCCGGATCTCCAAAGCCAACCAAACCCTCGGTCGTCTGCAGTGCACAGTATGGATTCGTTACGGTCTCTACGTCAACATCAAACTGAAGATGCACAAGACGGTCATCCTGCGGACGCTGCTGTATGGAGCGGACACTCAATCACTTCCATCTTCGACGGATACTAAATTTGAGATGGCAGGACCAAATCCCAGACACGAATGTACTGGAGTCCTCAGCATCAGCGCCATGCTGAGATAGCTACAACTGCGATGGAGCGGCCACCGCGTGCGGATGGACGACGAGCAGCTACCCAAACGACTCTTCCACGGAGATGTCGTCACAGGTTCTCGCCGACAAGGAGGCCAAGTCCGTCGATACAAGGACACCCTGAAGACTTCTCTGAAGCGTCTGCAGATCAACCCGACGAACTTGGAAGACCTTACCCGAGACCGACCGATCTGGAGGAGGACAGTGAAGGCAGGCACATCGATCTACGAGGCCAACCCCATCACCAGCGCCGAAACCAAACGCGAGATTCTCAAATCCCAACTGCACCCACCTCATAACGCCAACGCTCAACCACCCTCGACCTGCCCATGCTGACAGCGGACCTTCCGGGTACCAGTCGGCCTTGTAGGACATCTTCGTGCTACCTGCAGCACCCGGACTACACCAGATGCTGCCTACTCCTCCTCCTCCTCCTCCATTGCCTCAACATCCGCTACGGCGGCTCCTGTACCCTCCACCGCTGC